TTAATATGTACTAATATAATATATAATAACATGTTTAATATTTAATATATAATAACATGTTTAACATGTACTAATATATTTAATATATAATATATGTTTAATACTAATGTAATATATAATATTTAATATATACTAATATAATATATAATATTTAATATATAATAATATATTATATAATATTTAATATATAATAATATATTTAATATGTACTAATATAATATATAATATTTAATATATACTAATATATTTAATATATAATAATATAACATAATATAAAAATATAATTATAATAATAGTATAGAAATATAATACAATTTAATATACAATTAAATATAATATAATATAAAATTATAATAACATATAATTATAATTCATGCGAATAATTCTCTCGCAACTTCGATATGAATTAGATATCGGTTAACAAACGAGATGATCAAATGCACGTATAACGTCATCAAACAAATGACAGAATTACTAGAAAAATGGAACTTTAAATATAAATCGGTATCTGTGTGAAATAGTGTTGCTCCTGCGACCGAGGAATTTCTAGGAGCTTCGATTCTCTTCGGCAATGACGTTCAAGAAATTCGGTCAGGGCCGTCGATACGAGAGAGTCGATCATCCGCTTTTTGCCGGTTTAAAGACTCGCGTGTCTTAATTATCCTTTTTTTCTTCTTCTTCTTCTTCTTCTTATTCTTCTATCTTGGAGCTTGTAAGTCACATACACCGTGGTTGGTCGACGTGGACCAAAGCGGAGGGAAGCGGATCACCCGCTTGTGTGCTTTTGCATTAGACGCAGAGCGTGGGTAGCTTGCGTCATTAAGCATTGTAACTTACGGTACAAGGAATGACTTTGGCTTTGCCGGAGAAAGTGACCGGGTGTGGCCATTGCGAGACATTGTATTGTACATCGTACGCATTTGTATACACACTTGGCTTCGAAGAAGGAAGAAAGATCCTCGTTGTTCGCTGTCTTCGACAACGTCTATTGTTCCACCAATTTTTCTCTTTCTTTTTCTTCCTCCCCCCCCCCTTGCCTCAACCCGTGTTCACCTAGTAAAAGCGCTCTTCAAACCCGCGAGCATGTGAATTTTCTCAACCATCGAATTTATCGTTGGAATTTGACCAAAGAAACACTCTGTGATTATTTTTCTACATCACGCATAGCTTTAATATCCAATTCCATCGCAGATTGTATCGTTAACACGTTCCGTGCCATGTGTACCACCGGTGGTACACGCAGTCACATTCATTTAATGCGTTGAAAACATATATTTTATGACAAATGTAATTCTGTGAAATATATTTCTTAAATAACACGTTAAACTTGATCTTCAGGCCACGTGTTACCACCATATTTCTAATGATGATACCACAAGTGGTAGACGATGTGATAGCTACTCTAAACAAGAGACCTACTTACCGATTGATGATGTAATGAAAGATTGTATGATAATATATCAACCTTTAGTGAAAATATAAAAATGGCTTTTGGCACGGAACGTGTTAAATGCGTCGTGCCGTCTCGAAAGCTTGGAATAAAGGGACGAGCAGCCTGCGAATTTGGCAAGGTTTAATATTTACATTCCCGGGTTGGAAACTGGTTTTGCCGGGGCAGGCATGAAAGAAAAGCGGATCGCGAACAATCACAAGACGATGAGAGAAATAATTAATCACGTATATATACACGTTCTATAGAATTAGATTCAAGTGGCGTAACAACATCTTCCGTCGAATTATATAAAATCAAGACGAAGTGTAACAGCTTCAGATAAAATTATCAAAGGTTTCGCGAGCCATCGAGAGAGTCCCTGCGCATGTCGACTGCATGTCCATTGAGTAAATTATTAATAGTCGGCAGCGATGCATACAAATGTAAAAGAAGCTTCTTGTCCGACGAGGAAGAAAACGTGAGACGTGTCCCGAACTTACTATCAACGTAGTCGAGCCAACCGGACGAAACGGTCGCGAACACGGTTTCGGCCGGTTTTCGAGGCGGAGGTTCGTTGAACCTTGGTCCCAAGGGATTGATCGTGTATGGCTACCGAACGTGTGTCGTATGCGCGCAAACAATCATTGATCTGTGACGCTTGCGGCCGCCTACACGTATTTCTAGTTGGAGAGCTGAGACGAGACGATTGGCCGGTCAGACGATCGGTAAGAATTGAAAAAAAACTTCTGTTATCACTTTCACCGAGGCTACGAGGATTATTTCACTAGGCGATTTCTGGGCCAAGGTAAATAACCACTTGCTCCCGAGTGTCGAGCAAGAAATTTTCGAATCTCTCAGAACGAATTTTCTTCTCGAAAATGAGACATGATTGCTTGACGATTGTTTCCCTGAATGCGTCGACGAAAGAAACTTACCGTGAGAGAGTTTCCCCGTTTTCTTCATTCTTCACCGAACGAGCTGTTCCCTGTGACCATTGTTGAAACGTTTTTCGAGGTTATTACACGTACGATATGTAAATGCGTCGCGCTGGGTCCGGTCCCCGGCGTCGGAGGGCCAGCTCCTTTCTTTTTCTTCCTTTCATTCCGATCCTTCTCTCTATTTCTCTCTTTTATTCCACGCGGCTCCTTCTCTCATCTTGTCAGGGGCGGATCAGATCGAATGCTGCTCGATAAAATAAACCTGTTGGCGATAACGAAGCCAATTAGAGAGCCAGTTCATTC